GGCCAGTCCCTCCATGTGATCACTACAGAGTGTCCTGCCTTCTTATTAAATTTTAACTGCTTTCATGTGTCATGTGTGTATGCTCTCTATTTCTTCTGCGTGTATGGTCTGCCATCAAACTACAAGCTGGACTCACTGGTGAGTACAGTGAGAAGTTTAGGAGCTAGGTACTGGAGAATCTGAGGATCCAGGGGCCAGCTACCAGAGAGACTTGATCCACTGTTTTTAATCTGTGCCTTCAACTTCAGGGATGAAAGGTTTAAATATTTATCTTACCATAAGTTTCTTTTAAAAAGGAAAAGTGGTACAGAAGGAAATAATAGCCACAAAAGGAAACCACTAAAGTTTCCATGTATAAATGAAAATGTCTCAGAGAAAGTGCACTGAAAACATTTGCCCTAGACCACGATTCAAAGAAGAAGTCACTAAAACTTTACTTTTAATTTGTTGAGCTCTTGGGGACAGAGACATTCAATAGATCATAAGAATAAAATAGAGTTTATTCTGAAACTGAATGACATCTTAACTTTTCCTGCAATATAAATCATATTGGCTTGCACTTGAGCACTCACTAAAAACAAATTTTTTCAAATATATGCATTTCTTTAAAGGATGCTTTCCTCAAGTCACACTTTCATTGGAAAATTTCTGACTCCCACTTCTCCAAAAGCTTAACAAAATGTGTGACTAGCTTTTGGAAGCTTTTGAAAAATACATTCATAAAGATTCACAAAGGTAAATACCACTCCAGATGACTTAATTTCAGATGTTTGTTTAAACCATTGTCAGTTTGAGATACAGAGATCAACCTGTTTCAAGGAGTAGGCTTAACTTAACCACAGGATGCACTTCATTTCTCTGAAACTCAAAACCCTTCCAGCACAGCCCAAGTAAGGAAGAAAGTGGTTTCCTTCCTAACTGCTTGTTTTCCTTCAGACACCCAAACTTTACCCTAGCATTAAATGTATAATCAGCACCATCTCTTAACTCCATTTATGCTTTGTTTCAAGATAACAGCAATTCAAAGACACATATATAGCCCCAAAACAAGTTTTGAAGGAGCCTCTATTAACATTGGACCACAAGACATGTTTGTGTGTGAGTGTTTATCTTTCTCACTCACTTTCGTAGACTTCTAGAACTGGAGATCTTAAGACCTGGAGGCAGCTTTGAGAAATGCGCACAGACTTCTGTACAGAAGGGTTCATGTTTTGATTAAATACATTTAATAGCACTGTAGGACAAATATTTAAGAAACTGGTTTTCATCTGTAAGCCTAGCAGTTTGCAGGCTTACTAGAAGCCCTTACTGATGGCACTATCTGGTAAGCAGAGAGTACAGCAGTTCTTCCTGAACACTACAGTGCCACAGTTGCCACAGTGTTGGGGAAGTAGCTCCCTCACCTGCCCACCTTTGGGATGCTAGAGAGGCTGACAGGGATAAGCAGCCAAGGGGCAGCAAAAGCAGCTGCAGGATGACAGTCACTGGAATGCTGTCTGGCTATGCTGGGTGGGGACTGACAAATCACAAATAAGTATTTGCTGCACTCACTCTGCCAATTTTAGTTGGAAAACTGTGTGCCCCTGCAGTCAAAAGTGTGGAAAACAGAGCTCTACAAGGATACAGTTCCTGTCATTCAAGGGGTAACACTATGTCAGCATGTGGGAGAGGGAATTAAAACAATCAGGCAAGAGTTGTTTGCCTCTTGGTTATGTTGCAGTGAGTGACATATTTTAAAATTCTAAGTTTTAATGTGCAGGAACCATAAGGTATAAAATTGATATAGATACAAGAGAACTGTATCCAAAAGGACTGGAGGCAAAGATTACTGCTGCAAGCTGAAATCATGGGATAGGAGAGTGTCTTGTGGGACACATGCTAGCTTATGTATCAGCTCAGGTTCTACATTTCTGTCATAAAAGCCCATATTGGGTGAATTTGTATGAAGGAGCAGTGCCTAAGTGTGTGAATGGAAAAGAGTAACCAGAAATCAGATCAAGGAAAAGACAAGTAGGTGCTGAGAGGCAGCATGTAAAAGTCTCCCAAGAATACATAAGGTCTGGAGACTCTCAGCCCTGTGGATCCACAAGAACAGAAAAACTCAGAATCTCAAGTCTGTCAGGATTGTCAGGGTCTCTTTGTTGGTTGTATAATTTAGAACACATCCTAGGATGCAGTGACTTCTATGTACAAAGATAAAAGATATACACCTGCTGAAAAATGGGCCCTAAAGGACCTTTCTGAGCTCAGTTGGTAGCTCCCAGCATGAAAAACCTTTGCTTCTGGGAGAGGCCTCCCAGCTCTTGCTTTAAACAAGTAACTTATCAGTGAAGGTCTGAGTGTGAGGCAATAATTGAGCATACTGTGTGAATAGTTATCTGCTATTAATAATAACAGCTTGATTCTATTAACAGTTCAACTAGTAAAAGGTGATTTAATAAACATTGATTGTAATCTTTTTCTCACTTGACTTGAACAGTTATCAGGAAAATTTACAGTTCCACTCATGAAACCATCCTGTCCTTGCTTGACTCTAGGGTTACAACAGGCTCACCAGTGGTTGTCTGCCTGAGTCCCATTGTACCTCATTTGACCAATAAATATTCCTTTAATACTGGTCGTTCCCCCTTCACTGACCTGCCTCCCTGGCATTTTGCTGGTCACAGCATAGGGAAATCTGAGATTTTGCATGTCCATCATCAAGTACCAGGTAAAAATGCTACTTGGTTGCTATGGAGTAAGGTCTTTCTGTTTACTCTACACCAGTCTTCTTTTGTTCATATCCAGATTTACTTCTCTGGATAGCTCCAGAAAACAGAGGAGGCTGTAGTTCTATCACATCTTGCGCTATGTATTCTATAAGTTTTTACAGCAAAAGTATCATTTATACAGAAGGTTTGTCGTGGTAATTCCTGAATTATGGGGCAAGGGATTTAAGGAGACCACCTCAGTCATCAAGTCTACACTTGTGTTAACTGAAGGAAATGTGCCCAGTAATTCCTTTCAGTGATTATGACCTTGGTCATTACTAGAAAACTTTTTTTCTGTTACCATTTTTATGGGAAGCTCATTCCAAAACCTAATTTTTCTGATTGTTAGAAGCCTCTTTGTAACATCCAGTCTTGTTTGTGTTCACAGAAACTTTATACGCTTATTGACATTATACAGGGCTTGTTCTGGTTAGTGTTAACTTGTCTGAAAATACTTAGAAGCAGAAGTTTGTTTTGTTAGGCTGACACTTTTTGTTAGTGACTTCATCACCCTTTGACTGTAAATGGAATTTATATTCCTTTGATCATGCTTGATGAACTTCTTTGTATTCCAACTCTAGTACATAATTTTGGTTATACATGAGCAAAATTCTTTACTGTAAAAAATACTCTATAGAGTGACCTTAATAATCCTCTATCTGTAGTGCAAATTCTCAACTGACACAGCCTAGAATTGCATTTGTCTTTTTTTATAATCATATGGTTCCTGTTCATTGATTACAGAATGACAAGACCTAGGCATTTTTCTTCCTTTTATGTGGTAATGTGTTTCATCCAGTCGCCTTACCCTCATCCTCAAGTTATTTCCTTCCTTCTTGGAACTGTTGATGCATCCTAGCTTTGCACCACCAGCCCAGATTACTCTTCCTGCTGTCTTAAGGGAACACCATGCTTGCTTAAGTAGACTATCTTGATCATTTTATCTTCCAAAAAGTACTTTTCTTCTATATGGAATGGTAACAGGTCTGCTTTTAAAAATATTTCCAACAGAAGAAAACACAAAGGGATGTTGGTATCACAAGTGTGTCTTCCTCATGAGAAGAGGAAGAAAGAAAAAAAAACAAAAAACAAAAAACAGAGCCTCATAACAGAAAAACCAGAAACAGAAAACAGAAAAAAAATTGAGTCAAACTCAAAAACTGAAGTCCTAAAATCCATAAAAGTCCTAAAATCTATAGTGGCACAGAGTTTTGATAGGATTAGTATTGCAGCAGAACTGGGGTATGACATGATGAGAAAACAGAGGTAAAACTTGAAATTAGAAATAGACAAAAAATGCAAACCAGACAATTTCAGGTGGAAAAAAGGAAATGAGCTTTAAGGGAAAAAAGGGAAATATAGCTCATTGTAGAAGAAGGAACTACTGAAGATGAAAAAGGGTTCTCTCTAACAGACAGAATAGAGAGCCTCTTGAATATTTAAAGTGTGCCTTCCACATCTGCTATATGTACAAGCAGAAATAACAGGCATAATATTAAATCCAGCATAATTTTCTCTATCCCTAATTCAAATCAACCAAAATTTTTTAACAGAAAGGGAGATTTGGAAGAACAAGGATGAAAGATATACTGTAAATTTAAAGACCTTTAATAAGCTACTTCTAAGAAAGAAAGGCACTAAATTAAATAGCAGGGGGGTTGGAACTTGATGATCTTTAAGGGCCTTTCCAACCCTAGCCATTCTATGATTCTATGATTCTAAAGTATCTACTTGTTTAAAAAAACTTATGATGGAGATGGAACTTGCCTTTCAAAAGTCTATTACCCTCAAGAAAAGAAAAAAAAAACCACAACACAAAATAAAAGTTAAAAAAGAAACATTCCAATTCTGAGAAACTGAAAGGCTTGTTCTCTAGACCCTTCACCAGCTTCATTGCTCTTCTTTGGAAGCACTCCAGCACCTCAATGTCTTTCTTGTACTGAGGGGCCCAAAACTGAACACAATATTTGAGTTGTGGCCTCACCAGTGCTGAGTACAGGGGCACAATCCCTTCCCTAGTCCTGCTGGCCACACTATTGCTGATACAAGCCAGGATGCTATTGGCGTTCTTGGCCACCTGGGCACACTGCTGGCTCCTGTTCAGCGGGCTGTTGACCAACACGGCCAGGTCCTTTTCTGCCAGGAAGCTTTTCAGTCACCTTTCCCCAAGCCTGCAGCATTGCATGGAGTTGTGAGGAAAGTGCAGGACCTGGCATTTAACCTTGTTGAATCTCATACAATTGGCCTCAGCCTATCAATCCAGCCTGTCCAGATCCTTTGAAATCTCATACAATTGGCCTCAGCCTATCAATTCAGCCTGTCCAGATCCTTCGAAAGAGCCTTCCTACCCTCAAGCAGATCGACACTCCTGCCCAACTTGATGTCATCTGCAAACTTACTGAGGGCATATGCAGTGCCCTCATCCAGATCACTGATAAAGATATTAAACAAAACTGGCCCAAATAAAGAGCCCTGGGGAACAAACATCACTTGTGGCCATCCACCAACTGAATTTAAATCCATTCACCACAACTGTTTAGGCCCAGCCATCCAGACAGTTTTTTACCCAGTGAAGAGTATACCCAACCAAGCCATGGGCAGCCAGTTTCTCCAGGAGAATGCTGTGGGAAACAGTGTCAAAGGCTTTACTAATGTCCAGGTAAACAACATCCAAAGCCTCTCCCTCTAAGTGGGTCATCTTGTCATAGAAGGAGATCAGGTTGGTCAAGTGGAACCTGTCTTTCATAAACCCATGCTGACTAGGCCTGATCACCTGGTTGTTCTGTATGAGCTGTGTGATGACACTCAAGATGATCGGCTCCATAAAACATAACACTATTTTATATGTGAGAAAATATGCATGCATTACTGCAGGTAGCGTCCTTACTTGGTTTGGCAACCTTCACTGATAGAGGAGAAGAGGGTTGTTCTGCTGTATTGCAGCAGTGGATAAGACCTTGAAGGTGCAGCTGTCTTTCATACTGTCCTGTCTCTGCAGTGCTGCTATACTACTCCTCGTCAGCCCCTGTGATTGCATTGGACCTTTGCATGAATCCCTGAACTGGTTTCACTTACTGTTAGGGACTGGACCACTACCCATCCCCTCCCAGCTGATCCATGTTTATGTCTCAAACAACGGGCAGAACATTTTCTAAAGAGACTCCACCAGGAGTGCTTGGGCAGAGCACTCAAGACAAAACATTTCTAAAGAAGAGACACCACCATGTCTAGGAGAAAAGTTCTTTTGTGAATGAACATTAGCAAGTTGTTAATGTCTTGCGTGACTGGCACACCTGTTGAGGTGGGGCATGGGTGCTGAGGGCTGGAGTCATCTCCTCAGTGGAGAAACAGCTGCCACCCCCACCACGAAGGCAACCTGGATGCAGGGCTGTTGCGCCCCCATGAATGTCAACCCTGAAGGTGATCTGGATGTTGGGCCACCCACCCCAAGTGGTCATCCAGGACTGGACCAGACCAAACTGTATAAAAGGTGAGCCTGAACTGTACTCCCCATCGACCCATCACCATCCCACACAAGGAGTTTCTGTCTGAAATGAAGATTTCTGCCTGGAGAAGACATGTGCTGGATTGGTGATGTTCTCTGTTTACATTTCTCTGTGTTTGTGTGTCTCTGTCTCTCTATCTCTGTCTCTGTCTTTCTGCCCCTCTTTCTTACTTTTCAACTCTTTCCTACTCTGTCTTCTGTCTAATTTTTGCTTGAAATAGTGATTGAGCATTATTTGGTGCTTGCTTAATTGATAAGTGATGTCTGGTGATAATTGATAAGTGATTTGGTGCTAGACTCAGAAAAGTTGACTCGTGATGTTTTTGCACCGGCTGAGGTAAATAAAATTGTGTTGCATTGTTCCTTGAGTCATTGTCTGACTCCCCCTAGCCGGTGCTCCTTTTTGGGGAATCACAAAAAACTCTCTCGACTGTCCAATGTAGTCGGGCGACCGACTTACTCGCTGTCAGGGCTCATCAAAAGGGCTTCAAGCTACGTTTGAAGGGGGAAAGGGGAAAT